GAAAACCGCTATCCCCAGAATTCGTTTCGCATTGGTAGCTGCGCAAAATAGGATGTAAAGTTGTTGTTAGATTGTTTTTGTACAACAGTCGAAAGAAAAATTCACCAACACTCTCATAAAAAAGATGAAACTCGTTTGGAATGTTGTGAAACTTGAGCCAAATTTTTTTTTTATTGCCAAGACTCGAACTGAGGCAAATTTGAGGTGTCAGTGACAATTCAGTTGACAGTACATCATGCCTCGAATGGATCTCCATATCTCCGTGTCATTGGTTGCTATGTGTCTGTTGGCTTTACCGATGTTGTTATTCGAAACGGTGGTCTCGTCGGCGATGTTTTCAATTCACAGTTTCGTGTAAGTTGCAAATTACAGTCTGTCAATACTTCTCATTTGCAGCGTGTAAACTCACCATTAGTCCTTTCTCGAAATACTGCATGAATTTACTTTAGGCTTTTGACGCACAGCTTAATTTTATAGGCTTATCCTGGCCAGGTCCTCTGTTACAGGGAAACGCGGCTGCGCAAGCTCGGCAAATGTTGCCGTCCAAAATATGTGCAATGATTCCACATATTATTGGCCAAAAACTCAACAGCCGTCTGAAAACCATGCCTCAGTCCATACCGCTTACAAAGTTCGCCAGCATCGCTGAAGGAATTGTTCGAAGTGTTGCTTTCGACAGTCTACCGGGCCACGTAAGTTCATGCAATTCAGGAATAGCTGATGTATCATTGTGAAGGAACCTGCTTCGTTCTGAAGTAGACGTGACTAAATTTGCACTTATGTGACCGAACTTGCCTCAGAACGTCGTTATTTTACTTCCGGGTAAACTGATGGGGAGGAAGCTATCGATAGCTGTGCCAGCGGGTAAAGGATGGTGATAAGAATGTTCGTTACTTAGCTCATATTTAGGGGCATAGCGTAGTAAACCCGTCACGGAAACAGTCAATTCCTTTATAACTCGTCAGTTCGTTTCGATGGTACTGGCGGTCAGGAAGCCAAACCCGTCAACAGCTCGCTTTTAAACAATCTTTGAAAAGAGGAGACATCGATGGTTTCGGAAACGAGTGGCTACTGATAGCATCTGCAACCACTCGGGCTACTTTCGGGTGCTGCCGCCTCT